ACCCGCCATCGCCGGGCTGTGCGCCCCTGTGGGACCCCAAGATATCCCTGCCGTTTCATCCCTGTGGTGCGCTGATATTCGGGAGTGTGAAAGAAGACACTGATTTGAGGAAGGGCCAGATATGCGAGACAGTTGAGGGACGGAGCAGATACGAAATCAACTTAGGAGGGACTAGATATACTTGAGGGTAATTAAATACGGATCTTGCGAGCTTGTTCGTGGTCCTCAATTTGATCGAAACGCGGATGGCTTGCGAACGTGGATGGCTTGCGCCTTGAGAGGTTTGCTGTGAGGTAGCTTGAATACGAATTCTGCGGTCCCGCGGTTGAGGGGTGGGTCAGCGAGCACGGGCGCTGAAAGATCGGTTGCGGCTTGTGGGATCGGTTGCGGGGAGTAGATTGCACGAAGGCGCATGGCGAAAGTTTAGTCATGGACGAAGGGGGGGCTGGCGAGAGTCAAGATCGTTGGCGACGGTCGTAAGGACGCATGCAGGCTTGCGCACGGGGAAGGCGCCGAGGGCGATGGAGGTAGTACACAGGGCGAAGAACGCCAAGACTATGGCCGAAGCCGTGTAGTGGCAGAAAAGGCAACGCGGTAGCCGACACGTTGAGGGCGGGGCGGCGGTACCATTAGTTTGAAGGAGTGAACACTGTCGAGGCGCTAACGGGTGACCTGAACGGCAAAGAGATGGGGGAAAAAGCAGAAAGGCGAGCAATCAACACGTGTTTGGTCGCCAAACAATCACGCAATCTGCACGTGCTTCGCGGACTCGTGTCATTTCCGCCAGAGTCCCAAAAGAAGGTGTCCATTCTCGAATGCACTCTTTAGGTCAACTCTCAACAAAACATGCAGCTCAACACTGTGGCCGACTGCGGGCCTCTGTGGGCGGCCAAAGAAAAATCTCTGCGCTACTCGGCGCTACTGATCCGCGCGCTACCGGCTATCAGGTGCTACGGATCGTCGGTCCACGGTTACCCGGGCTACGAGAGCTACGAAGGGCAACGGAGCAAGAGGGAAGGGCTACAAGGGCTATCGGCCCTCCCTAATTTAACCCACAGCGACGTACTAAAAACTTTTTTCCTGATGTGTTACGTCACTTTTTCTCCTTTCTCTTCCGCTTTCAATGATTTCATTCAATGGATGCTAATACGACTCGAGGGGCACGTGGCTGAGCACACTCAAGGCAGACCATCTTGCAGCTGCATCTCTTCCCAAGTCCCCCGCAACTTCCGCCTCCTCTAAGCGCTCGAAACGGCGAAAAGGCATCGGTGTCGATTCGGCTCCTGCTCCTACTCCTACGGCCTCGAAGACTCGAACAACATTATGATGAGCAACCACCATCATCGGCCCTAGGCATACCGTGCGCGAGAATCGTATCTACAGCCTCAAGATTACGTGCTCCGAGCGGTACCCGAATGCGGCGCCGGCGGTGCAGGTGCGTGCGCGTTGCGTGTGGGGAGTTGTGCTTTACTGACGTTGTCTGCTTTCTGCTTCCCTTCTCCTTTGCCTTTGCTCTCCCATGGGAACTCTCGCCATCCCGCAACGCATCTTCATGCAAACGATACGCGATACACGCCCCCAGTTCCTCTCCCGCGTGAACCTCCCTTTCGTCTCCACCACAACCGGCACCGTCGACCCCGCCCGCCTTCCCGTCCTCGCCTCATGGACGCGCGCGAGCAGCCTCGAGCACGTGTTGGTGGAGATAAGGAAGTACGTTTCTTCCTCCCTCTTTCTTCGACTGGCCTTTATGCATTCGCATTCACGTCCTTGCCCTATTCCCTTTCCTTCCGCGTTCTTGCGCGTGTGCACCCGCACCCGCCCTCTTTATTACGACTTCGTTCCGCGTCTTACGGTCGTCTATTCCTTCGACGTCCTCATCCTTCCCTCCTCATCCTCATCCTTCCATCGTTGTCCCGACCATTCTCCTCCTTCTCCTCTCCTTCATACCACACACTAATGCACACACCGAACAGAGAAATGACCTCCCCCGCAAACCGCAAGCTCCCCAAGCCGCCCGAGGGCAGCATGTTCTAACTCACCACATACACTTGGTACTGTTTTTACGCGATATGGGGTGAGGGCGAGGGTATTGGAGGGCAAGGAGGGTGTACGATAGATAGAAGTGCGAATGCGAATCTCAATGCCACAAATTTCTCTCACAAACCTCTCTATGCTGCATCCTCAAAGAATCCTAAAGTAACCAAGTCCAAACCGGCGAGCGAACCTAAGCTCGAAATTCCTCGAAATAGTGCCGCTCCTTGGATGATGCCGTATCCTTGGATAATTCTTTTTTCAAAGGCGACACACACCTCGCAGGTTCAATTCCTCTTGCAGGCAACATTATATAACCCCTCCGCATCCCGTGAATTAATTGTAGCTCCCGAATCGGAATGAGACTAAAAAGAGACGCGTTTTGGTGTGAATCAGTATCAGATCGGACCGTGATGGACTTTCCTTTTCCCTCATACAGCGCGGATCCGGCTAAATCTGAGCTCAACCAAATTTCTATACAATACCTGCCTCTCTTGGCTGCGATTTCGTCCCAGAGTTCGAGTTAATAGGCCTAACAATGCAAGCTCCAGATTTTGTGCAAGTTGATGCACGTGTAAAGCGTGACACCGTTTGTTGACGCGACCGACATCCATCTCTCCTTCACGTCGCCGGCCTTTCGCAATTGGCCCAACCTTCTCATGGTGGCGCGCGCCAAATCTGACAGGGTGAAGGGCCATGAGAATTCACGGCAGAAGGAGCTGCGAATCCGGGCGGCGCTGGGGGAATACGAGCGGGAGCACGCCGAACATCAGGAAAATACCCCCCGGCAATTATGTTACATTTTCGGACAAAATGTTCTAAAATTCCTTCAGTTGTTCTAGTGTACCAAAATGTATCAAAATATGTTCTCGGCGGAAATAATTGCTGAAGTTGTTGCACTTGTGAACAAAGTTTCTTGCCAATTTTGGCCCAGTTCACTGCCTTTCTTTAGCAATTTCATGCAGCTGCACCGATCATGAGCTTCATTATTATGGACGGATGACAGTGGAAGGGGTCACTTTGAAGTATATTGCATGGCTCGACTACGTAGGGAGTACATAGTATCTAATACTCTGTGATACATTATTTATAACCAGTGCACACTGGGTGACTTCCCGTAACGAATAAACAATTGTTTGGAATATTTTCTGCCATTCTGGGACGACTCCGAGACAGCTGTCAGGACCCCATCGGACTTGGATCTCAGTAATATCGCTCCCGGAGCCTCTTGTAGAGCTTAAATAATAATAATCTGGAACAATAATAATCTGGAACGGGGGTCGGACCCCCCGTTCCAGATTATATTACTAGTTGAATAAACGAATTTGGCTTTATCGCTGAACGGCATCCAACGGCTTGTCATCAGTGATCCTCGATGACTGCTTGCCCTCATGCCGTTCGCATTGTTCACCCAACTGCTGCCAACTTGCCAGGCTTTTCGTCATTTCACACGCAACCATGGGTCTCGATACCCCGAGTGTGGCCCCGTCTCCCACTATTTCTTCGTCTCGAGGTCCTGGAGCCGTTGTTGAAGAAAAGACGCGATGGAGTACATTTTACAGTGGTGGCGAGATTACGGTGGACGACAGGACACGGCTGGAGGATGAAGGAGACAGCGAAGAAGAGGATGTGCCCGAAGCGGGCGATGCTTCGGCCGATGGAGATGATGTGTGACAAACCGTCATCCAAGGAACGTGAAACGTGACAAAACTGACTGCCAGCGCAGATAATTTAGAGAGGACATTCTAATACCCCATAATTCATATAGCTCTCCCATATACATGTAGTGGGTGACTTTCCATAAGCATTAAATATTGCTATTAGAATTTTTTCAGCGGTTTTGCCGAGATGCCGGGCCACATGTCGGGACCCCATCGGATTTGGATCTGGGATTTCGTTGCTTTTGACCCTCGTTTAGAGCTTGTTTAATTTTAATCTGAAGAGGGGGGGAGACGCCCCGACCAGATATACTTGTGGTTCATAGACTGGAATAGACAGTTTTGGATGCTTCGCCGATCCAGCTTGCCCAATTTAGCGCCGCGGCTTGGCCGCGGCGCCGATCATTCATGACGACTTAGACTTCTCCAAGTCTTGCAATTTCATCTCCCGACATCTTCCACTTGCATCAAATCGACCGACGACACGGCCCTTTAGGCTCTCCATGCTGCTCTGGATTCATTTTCAAGTTGATGTTGCCTTAGGCTGTTACTTTCCTCCATCTCCTTGCCATCTCCTCTTCTCCATCTCCTCCAGCCATTACATGTGGAAAACACGTCGATAACACGTCGATATCCATCGGGCTAAGGAAGGCAAAGGCGTGGTCAAGAGAAAACGAGAGACGCGTTCGACACGTTGTTTGCCAAGAACAACGGCTACAAACAGGCGCGGTTCTATTCCTCGAAAGTTCAGAATAAGTCAGGAAAATATATTCAGCACCTTGTGGGAACCCAACGTGCATAGATTTTCGGACTAAATCGACATGCCGACATCGCTGGCACCGCTCCGATATTCTACATAACATTGTTTATGCTTATGGAAAGTCACCCAGTTACTTACACGTTTCGCTTACTACATATTTTCTTTTGAGAATTAAACAGGCCAAATACATGCTGTGTAGTCGAAAGATCAAAGTTATCATCCAAGGAGCGGCACTATACTGTATGGGAAACACAAAAAATAAACACAGAAAGGGGGCATGTCCTAGGTGGGAGTCAAACCCACATCTTTCTCAAAGAGAGAGTTGACAGCCCTAAGATAGGAAGAGGCTTTGGCCGTTGAGCTAAAAGGGCATTTCGGATACTGTACCCATTCCAGTAGAGTACAAACAATGGGATGCTTCCTCAATGAACATTTAATATTTTTATTGAATCTTCAACGGTTAAGTTTCTGCGGGGGGAGGGAGGTTGTCGCGAGATTAAATAAATGAAAGAATCAAGAACAAGGGAAAAAAAGAACACGATGAAAGGCCATGCCCTCGGTGGGAGTCGAACCCACGTCTTCCTCTGCAAAATCTTGAACCAGCTAGGACGAGAGGAGGCTCTGGCCATTGAGCTGCGGGGGCATAGAAATAGTCATACTTATGCCAGTAGATTATCTCCCTTAAGCTTGGTCTTGGAACCACACATTAATGTACCGCGCTAGCGCCTGTAGCCCGAAACGGCAACCGCAAGGAATTTGAAAACAATAGCTGTGGAAAGAAAGACCTAGAAAGCAACAAAAATGGACAAAAAGACAACAAAAATGGACAAGAACCAAGATGTAAATTGCACATGCCCTCGGTGGGAGTCAAACCCATATCGTCCCACTACTGTACTGTCTCGACAAAGTGTTCATGTCATGGATCACAGTGACTTGTGAACTGAACACTTTTGAACACCGTCACGGGTTACAGGCCTCAAAACCATCGAATTTTTCGCGGCCCGGATTGCCATTTAAGGCAATTTCCCACGAGATGAACACCTGTTTTTCTGAACACTTGAGGTCACGGGTCACAACCTGTGAACACTTCGTCGAGACAGTACAGTAAATTTGGCTAAAATTTGCCTACAACGAAGGGAAGCTCTGACTGTTGAGCTACAGGGCCATTTAATTCAACCTTTTCGAACGGGAATTATTCTGCTGAGAACTGTCCAAATCCTGTGTTATCAGGAAACCCCTTCGAGCACCGCCGCAAGCCCAACTTACTTATTTTCTGGTGGCCACTGGCACCAAATGCAAACCAAATGGCTCAAACCTTCACAAAGCATACCCATACAAAATGTGCTGGGACTTGGGATATGAACACCCGAAAAAGCCAGGTTCCATTCATCTGATGGCTGGGAAGAATTCTATGCAACCAACTATTATCCAACCAGCTTCCTAAGTGGTGGCATGGAGTTCATTGGCATATTCCCCTCCCTGTGGATTCATCTCTGCACCATTGTCAACAAGGATCTGAATGATCTCGGAATAGCCTCCATCGGCTGCCGCCTGGAGTGCATTTCCATATTCTCCTCCTTGTGCATTCACATCTGCGCCTTTATCAACAAGGATGTGAACAATTTTGGGATGGCCTTGGTAGGCTGCTGCAGCCTGGAGTGCACTTCCAAACCTCCCTCCCTGTGCATTCACATCTGCCCCCATGTCAAGAAAGATCTGAACAATCTCGGAATGGCCTCCCCATGCTGCTGCTTGGAGTGCATTTCCATATTCTCCTCCCTGTGCATCCAAATCTGCCCCTTTGTCAAGGAAGAGCTGAACAATCTCGATATGGCCTCTGTAGGCTGCTGTCTGGAGTGCATTTCCATAGTGCCCACCTTGTGCATGCACATCTGCACCTTTGTCAAGAAGGATCTGAACAATGTCGGGATGGCCTCTGTAGGCTGCTGCCTGCAGTGCATTTCCATAGAACCCTCTCTGTGCATTCACATCTGCACCTTTGTCAACAAGGATCTGAACGACTTCGAGATGGCCTTCCTCAGCAGCTGCCTGGAGTGCATTTCCATATTCTCCTCCCTGTGCATTTGCATCTGCCCCTCTGTCAAGAAGGATCTGAACAATCTTGGAGTGGCCTCCTACAGCTGCTGACTGGAGTGCATTTCCATAAACCCCTCCCTGCGCATTTACATCTGCCCCTCTGTCCAGAAAAATCTGAACAATCTCGGGATGGCCTCCGTCAGCTGCCGCCTGGAGGACATTTCCATATTTCCCTCCCTGTGCATTCACATCCACATCTTTGTCAAAGAGGAGCTGGCATATATCCCAATACCCATAATATGCCACAACAGCCACCACTTCGGTGTCAGCATATTTTCCAGCGTATTCCAAGAGATAACTTGCTATCTTCACCATATTTACTGAGACTGCAATCCATAAAGATGAGGGAGAATCAGGCCAATAAGCAAATGTCCATGGAGGAGACTGCCATTCCCATGAATACCGGTACCACTGTTCCCGGTATGTCTTGGCCTCTTTTAAAAATTGTATAATGGTAACCCTCAACTGCTCTTCACACATTTGAGCATGGACCAAGCAGTACTAGCAATATCCAAGAAGAGGTGGCCTATTGTCCCGAGGAATGGCTTCTTTGTGTGAGAATTGCTCAAATTGCATATATGCTAGCAAGCTCTGTGTGATTTTAATGTGTGGGTTTGCAAGCTCCTTGGTTTGGATTTCATCCAGATAGTTCTGGGTAGTAAAATGGACAAGTCGAACCAAAGAACTGTGTTCTTCCACAATTACCAGACCAGCACAAACAGAAAGGATGATAGCAATATCAGTGATATTGTCCTTGTTCAATCCTTTTGTTCCTGGCTCAATGGCTAGAGCCTCACATAGCTCTACACTGGTCAGAGGTCTTTTTGTGTTAACAACCCAGATAAGTGCCGATTGTGCAAGCTCCTGTTGGTTTTGGGGGAGGGTATTGATCCGGTCAAGGATATTCTTATACATGTGGTGCAAATCGGTTGGTAGATCTTGTAAAGCTTGTCGAACTTCCTTTATATTGGTTGCTGTGTGCAAAGAATCAATATGAAGCTTAGCGAGCAAGAACCTGATATGGTGACTGGTTAAATGATTTCCTCTGATTAATACTGGACTTACATTCCATCAACAGTATTGCTGATTTTTGAACAAATTTGCTCCTTCAACCCCATCTCGTTGTTGACATGCTGAGATAGGCGACTAGACAACTGGATTTGTGCCTCTACATATGCCTCAATGTCTCTCTGCGTTGCATGGATTTCAAGTGCTACAGGATTCGAAAGCAGCTGAGATGGAGAAATATGGGGCCGTGACAGGATCAAGAGGTTGAGGCGTCCCAGGTCACGCAGGTCCTGGGCTAGTAAAGTCCACTGATTCTCTGGGTATTCATCAACCCCATCGAGAATAACATAAACCTGTGAGAACCTGAGAAGTGCCAAAGGCAAGAGCTTCTGAATGTCTTTGTATAAAGGTCTTGTCTTCTGCTCAGCATGTTCTTGATACAACCAATGTGCAGAACCAAGAGGTTGGTTTGGTATAAGCTGTCTCCAAAGTCCTGCAAGGAGATTGTCCAGGGTTTGTACCTGAGTCTCCTTGTGGTTGAAGTAGATACATGCCACTCCAATATCCTTGCTTTGGAGGGCACGCAGGTGGTCTACTACAAGAGAGCTACAATCATATACATGAGTAAAAATTAATCAGTGGAATTGGGACCTACGCAAGAACAGTCTTCCCAGCACCAGCTGGACATATTATTCAGACTGAGACACTGATAACATACTGATGTTACACACGTATTCCTGAGCACCACAGAATCCCTCCGGTGTTTGATTTCCACTGCTTGAACTTCGGGTCACTGAGCAGCCATTCACCTGTTCCTGACTGCCGATTCTTGGAAATGTCCTGTTGTCGAACAAAAAAATTGATTGGGGACAACCATTCAATTATTGCACTCCGTTTAGCAGCTGAAAAATGTTCAACATCTGAGTGGACAAAAAAGTCTGACAATCACCATCCATTTGATCCCTGGACGCGATAAAATCAGAAGAAAGCTTGCACAAGAATCAACCCAACATACCAGAAGTCCAGTATCAACCAAGAATTAATCAGGCTTTTGAATTGCTCCAGCTTTTTGACATCCTCATCTGTCTTCTTTTTGTGGCTCATTGACCATGCTACTCTTTTTCTGAGTCTTCCAATCAATCCTTTCCCCGGTTGCAACCTTTCGGTGAGGTCCTGTACATCTTTGCACAAGTTTGTCAATGGACCTGCCATCTACCGAAGAACACCCGCAGAGGGATTAGCAATGATGTGGCGACGGAGCTCGTCCAGAAGTAGTTTGAGATCCTCCATCTCTGCCAGTAGTTTCTGCTGTTCTTGTGGTGCTTGGTGTGCATCTTGAATGACTTGTTTGACCTTCAGTGCAGTACCCAGAAGACTGAGTCCAGCCTCGACAATTCCTAGTATCTCAGCCATGGTGGGAGACGACAAGATGCGAGAGTTAAGGGCCTAAGGCACACGGGCTGTGCTGTCGATTGATGTCACTTGACTGTTGCTTGACTGACAGCTTTCTGACGGCTTCCATGCTGTTCTGATAGAATTACAAGGGTGCTATAGATGTTCTCAGAGCTGTCGAGACTGGTGGCGGCGTTGCTGCGAGTCCGAGCTATGGAGAATAACCGTTCTTTAATGAGATTCCTCGTATTTGCTTGTATCTCTTTGGTTTAATCCCCATGACTGTGCACTATTCACTCGAAATGAAAATATTCACACAATCCCCGAAACCCAGCGACGGCGCAGCTCAAAAGTGACTTTAGTTGACATCTGACCTCAGTTCAAAAGCTGTTCGATTGAATAAATTATCAAGCCGCTGCTCGCAGCCCAGGAGGCCGTTCGACTTCGAGATCCTTACCACACAGCCCGCAGTTACACGATATAAGTAAACCCCCATCCTACGTATTGACCCACCCACTTCTTACCCCCCATCTCTCAAAGCTCCCGTCTCAATGTGTTCCACTGCCCTGAATTCGGAAGGCCCTCAAGTCATCAATTTCAATGTGCAATACACAAACCGCATGGGTCTTTCGCTCCATCTCTCTAGGCTTCTCCCCTCAACGATACTACCGCCGTTCTGAATCAAGATCCTCAGTTCAGCAAGAGCCAGAGCCATGCTGTCCTTCCTCGCGATCTCTGTTTACACTTTCCCCTCCTGTGTTTCCCTCAATCAAGAGCCTTCATCATCAATTCGAACGTGCAAATTTGCGGCTCAAACTACCTACACCATGTGGTCCGGGTCTCCCCAAAATCACCACTCTCTCGACTCAAACTGTGAGCGTTGCAACCAGTTCAGGTACTCAATTGAATTTCGCTCCTGGCATCTTCAGTCAACTTTACTTGGAGTAAAATTGGATTCCAGGAGTAGGGAGATTTTTCGGAGGCCTCTGCGCCCACCCGACGCATGATTAGCGGCTTCGCCGCTTCAATATTTACATTGGCACCGCCATACCCCCTATCTACGGGTCAGTCGACCACGTCCCTCCGTTTCATCGGCATGTCTCTGACTCGGTGCTATTGATTTAGCGGAGGCCGTATCAGAGACAA